GTGTGTGTGTGTGTGTGTGTGTGTGTGTGTGCCTAATTGGAGGCGGTTTGGTGTCATCAGTGCTTCTTTTCACAGAAACAGGATTCAGAGCATCTGCTGCAGCCTGAGGCCTCGTCTCCGAGCCGGGAATCCTGTTGGGCTAAAAAGCAACGATTCAAACGTTCAGACTCACATCCTGCTCACACACACACACACACACACACACACACACACACACACACACACCACCGCAAGGCCCACGGAGAGGTCTACAGTTTTATCATAAGTTCTTACACAGAAGCGTCGCCATATTAGAAAACCAGTTCTTCTCTGCTTCACTAGTTTCCTCTCCTCCCTTTTCTTTTTTTTTTAAATCTCTGGGGATCTTTGATCCAGACGTACGTTTCTTTAATCTGTGCACACACAGCCGACAGCCTGACAAACACCGACAAAGCAAACAACACAACATGTCAGGACAGAGAGCGCCGCATGAGAATGTAAACACACACATACACACCTGCTCTAACCTGCTGGCTCTTGTTGGTAGTTTAATTAAGATCTGTGTGTGTGATTGTGGACGTCCCTGGCAGTCTGTATTGACTCGGTGTGTTTGTGTGATGACAGAAGGAAACGGAGCCGTGCTACATTTCAGGGGCGTGTTTTTATCTGCCTGCTCGTTGCATAATCAAACATTCATTCCTCATTATGTCGCAAGTGCCAGTGTGTCTTAGCTGGAGTGCTGTAAATATCAATTAATGTCCAAATGAAGGCGCTGTGAACGTATTCCCCTGACACATGCAGATGTATTTCACAACACTTAGGAAATGTGCAGTCGCCCGTCAGTGCTGCAGCTTTTTGCTGTTTTGTATCTCGAAGGCAAACATTTGAACTTGAGGGTTAAGATTTAAAATACCTGCTGAAGACCGACTGCATCCTCCAGAAGAAGAAGACCTTACTGTAGAGCCTGAGTAGATGGTGCCTCAGCTTCATGGACTTTACAGAAAGCTTTGTGTTCAGCCTCAGTGTCGCATGGTTAAAAATAAACTGAACTGACGAGCAAACTCGTGAGATCCAATCAGGCCAGCTGATGCTAGACGTGGTTGGTTGACGTGATTTTTAGAACACATCTATGACTTCTTTACTGACATGAGAGGATGCTGGTGATCATGACCTGCAGCTCTCTCAGCCTTTCTTACATCAGTCTCTCTGTGACTGGTTTCTTCCACTTTCTCCTGTTTGAACAGGTTTCAGGTTTTTAAGGACAAAGGTTCTGGTACCGTGTGATACTACACAATTCTAAAAGCATCAGAATCTTTGCTATGTTTAGGTGGTACTTAAAGTCTGTGTTCTGTTGTATAGACATCACGTGCTTTCTGTGTGAACTACTGATTTTAAAAGTAGACAGTAAATATACAACAACGTTAAAGTCACCGTGTCCTGTGTTGGCTTCCCACGTGTCACCAACACAGCTTTAAACTGTCACGATGACCTCAGGGTCTCCAGTGCTCTCTTCACTACAGATCCTTTTAGCCCTGGAGGACCTTAAGCTTGGTTCTGGTGCAGCCCAGAAATGCTTCATCACTTAGGGTCTGGGGGGGTTTAGGAGGCTGGGTCAAAGCCTTGAGCTCTTGGTCATGTTCCTCGAGCTCTTTCTGAGCAGTCTTTGCAGTGTGGTGGGGCGCATTGTCCTGCTGGAGGGTCTACTTGGACTGCAACAATGCTTCAGGGGTTGGTGTGTGTTCATGTGACAGCCACATGGATTCAAGGTTTCCAGGCAGAAGACTGCACTGTAATCCATTTATCCACCCACCCACCCATCCACCCATCATCCACCCACCCAGCCACTCATCCATCCGCCCAACCATCCATCCA